GCCAGGCCTCTACTCAGTGAGGAAAGGGACCAGCCACAACCCTGGCGTCTCTCCCTTCCCAGGGCGGGAGTCATTAGGTTTCTGTGCCTTTTCTCCCTCTTCAGTGAAGTTAATAATACTGTCTCAGGAGGTGGGCACTAATTACAAAGTGCTTTGGCAATATAATATGTGAGCTAACTTACTTAGCAGTAGTATTAATGTTTACAATGAGTCTGTGGATGCTGGCTTCACAAACAATAACCAGGGCTTAACTTTGTGACTGGGTTTTTGAACATAAAATACTCTTATTTTATTTATTTACTTTTTTTTTTGAGACAGAGTCTCAAGCTGTCCCCCTGGGTGGAGTGTCGTGGCATCACAGCTCACAGCAACCTCCAACTCCTGGGCTCAAGCAACTCTTCTGCCTCAGCCTGCCAAGTAGCTTGGACCACAGGCACCCGCCACAATGCTGGGCTATTTTTTTGGTTGCAGCCTTCATTATTGTTTTGGCGGCCTGGGCTGGATTTGAACCCACCACCTTAGGTGTATGTGGCTGGTGCCTTAGCCACTTGAGCCACAGGCGCTGAGCCAATACTCTTATTTTAAAGTAATTAAATGACTTGTCAAAAGAACTTCCTACATTCACCCAAAGTCTTATTTGAAAATGCTTAAGATTTAATTATAGATCTATAATTAATTCCAATTGATACTATATTAGCCAGGGTTCCTAGGAAATGAGGTAACTGGCTGTAGGAAGGCTGGGATCAGGGATGCCCTTGACACTTGGCCAGCCTGCTGTGGTGAGGCAGCTTCACTCAGCCTTATGGAGGCCACGTACTGCGGCTATTAACCCAAGCACAGCAGTACCCTTAGACCAGCACAAAGAACTTCCTTTGACCAGCCTTCACACACCCAACCACAGAAGGCCCTGCTCTTATGTCCTCAGACTTACGGTGACACGAGGTGGGAATTTAATGTATACCTTATAAAGACGAGTTGGTGGGAGATAGTCTTCTTGGCAGGCCCACAACTGAATGCCCTCTTCACTGCTAGTACCAGGTATCTCTGAGCTACAGGGTCCAGATCTGACCTAAAGCCCAGCCCCTCCCTACCCCCCCTACCCCAAACCCAGGCTTCCTTGACAGGTTTTAGAGGAAACCAGTGGCTCATTTCCAAATGAGTGGCTCTTTTGTTTGCATATTGCCTTTGGTCAATATGCAAACAAATGAATGGAAACTCACTTATCACTTGAGAGCCCAGGCCAGTGACTCCCCTCCACCGTCTGGGGGAATCTTAGCTCTCTGGGACAAGGCTCTCCTGAAGGCTGAAGGACTCCTCCCCTCTCAGCAGACTTTCGCCTCCTGTTAGGTCCCTCGGGCCACCACCCTGCCATGCCTTACCGAAGGGCGCCATCACCCGTCCTGCAGCAGAAATGCAATGCAGAACAGACCCAGAAAGCTGAGTCATCAGAATCCCAAGGTGGACAGCTGCAAGACTTCCAGGGTTTATTCATATGAGTAGTTTCTTCATATTTTTTTTTTGAAACAGCATCAGCTATAAGGGTAGAAATGGCCCATACCAGGGTCCTCTGCAGCCTCTGCCAGCTGAGAAGGTGCAGGAAGAGGAAAACAGGCGACTGAAGCAGGCAGAGGCAGCACAGATGGAGTGGTAACAGGCAGCTGGGCTTCCCGGCCACCTGTCAGCTGCGGTGGGGCTGTGAGGTGCCAGGTGCAGGCACACAGAGCTCCCAGCAGAGAAACACAGCAGGTCCTGGCCCAGCTTCTTATTCTGCTCTGTGATATCAGGGCTCAGGTCCACCCAACTATGACCACAGCCTGGGACCCAGCACAGGGCTTGACTCCTCCTGCCTGCCTGTTTCTTGCCCTCAGAGAACCCCCCAAATAAATCCCCTCCCACTGAGGGTAGGGAGAGAAGGGAACACTCTTACACTGTTGGTGTGACTACAAACTAATACAGCCTCTATGGAAAGAAGTAGGAGGACAACCTCATAGAACTAAAAGTAGACCTTCCATTTGATCCCACAATCTCATTACCAGGTATTTATTCAGAAGAAAAATCATCCTGCCATAAGGACACTGGCACTTGAATGTTTATCACAGCTCAAATTCACAACCACCAAGATGTAGAAACAACCCAAGTGCCCATCAACCTGTGGACAGATCAATAAATGGTGGTACATGTATACCATGGTTACTGTTCACCATAAAAAGATCTCCCTTGTTTTTATCAACCTAGACAAAGCTGGAGAACAATCTCCTTAGTAAGGTATCACAAGAATGGAAAAGTATCCAATATACTCAATACTAACATGAAGCCAGTAGATGAACAACTACAGGCCCACACAAGAGAAAAACACAATTAAACTCAAGTGGGGAGGGAGGGGGTGGGGACTGGTAAGCTCCCTCTAACAGGCACAATGTAGAGGTACATGGCACACCCCCTGGGTGAGGGGCTCAAGCACAACTTGGACCCTAACAAATGCAACCAATTTAACCTAATTGTTTATACCCTCACTCTAAGCTGGGGGAAAAGTCTCCTCCCACTGTAGCATTTCTATTCCCTAGAAATCCTAGGAGTCAGGAGCTAATAATTCTCTTGTGAAACTTATAAATACCCTGCTCAACCTGAACCTTCTCGTTCTCTAACCCTCACTGGAAACCTTTAAGCTCCCAAGTTGTTCTCACTCGACCCTTTGTGCAAACTAGAAGGTGGGCAATGGAGATGCAGGAAACACCCTGACCCCAGAGCCTGGCCTCCCTGGTCCATGGGCTGTGCTGCCTGGTGCCCTCCCCTATGAACTGGGATAATTATAACACCAGGGTTACCACAGGATTAGGAATTGTTCATGAGAGCCGAGTTGGCTCCTGGCTCACAGCAGCTGTGGTTCCATAAATGGTAATGCTGTGAAATTATCCCCACCCTGTTCACTTCCACCAGTGGCTCTTTAACTATTCCACTTTCACTCTGTAACCCTAGTAATAATTCTCTGAAGAACTGGTTCTTTCCCCACCTCTTTTCCCGGAGACCTTATAATCTCTGGAGACATGAAATCTCGACTACGCACAGCCTCTGTGGCGGCTCAGGCAGACTCTGCACCTCACCGCCTGTGTTTCTCCTCTGCTGGTCTGTCTCCCCTTTTCTCATTTCCCCAAAGACCCATCAGATGCTCGCTGCCTCCTAAGGTCTAAAGTGGGGCAGTGTCCCTCACACTTGCAGCTTCCTTTGTACATATTTGATGCCTTACTTGCCCTTTGTAACAGTAAAAAAGCATCAATCAAATAATTATGGGCAAATAGAAAAGTAACTTCTTTGTCAAATTGCTGGAAAAACAAAGTGAGAAGCCAGTCTTTACCATGGTGTCCACTCAGGGGTCCAGAAACCGGCAAGTGCTGAGCCATGTTTCCATCCCAGCCTTGACATGGACAGCTTCTCTACCCCCAAGACATGCCTACAACAGGGCCCGGGGCAGATGGAGGCTCCACCACCGGTGTGCACCCTGTCACAGCGAGAAGGCTCCTGAGAAGGGGTTGCGCCAGCACCCAACCCTACCCATTTCTCTGCCTCAGCTGCACAGATTCTGAGGCTGCAAGTCGGGGATTTGGCTCCACTCTGAAGATGTGGAGAACCTTCTCTGGTCACACAGACAGCCTGATGTTTGTTCTCCAAGAACAATCTGGAAGAACTGATGGGTGTTGGCACTCTGTTGGGGGATGGGGCTATACCCCTTTGCCATTCTCCGACCATCTGAGCAGCTACCATCATTGTCACACTTCAGACAAGGGAACTAAGCTGCCAGGAGTTAAGGAACTCACCAGGAAGCCAGTGAACTGTGGCCCGCCTCCTGCCACGTTCCCACCCTGGCAGTCACACCTCCATGACCCTCCCGCGCTGGCTCTTAAGGTGGCATCTCGTGGCTCCAAGTGACAGACCCATCAGGGAATCTCAGAGCCATGAGAGCCTGGCCGCCTGGCCTCAGGAGGGACAGCAGAGGCTTCATGCTCCAGGTCTCCCCTGGCTGCTACTTTCTGTCTGACGCTTCCTGCTGAGACCTTTGATAGTGGCCAACTGACCATGGTGTCTGGGCCTGAGACAGGTAGGCATCTTGTAAGAGGTGCCTTTGGATTGTGTAAGCAAAACAACTCTGGGCCTAGGGTACTAAGGCCTCACTGTGGCTGGTCCCTGCAGTCAGAAGTGTACCTTTCCCAATTCCCAGGGCCTAGGACGCTGCCACACACACACAAACTTCTTTGATCCTTTCTCTAAAGGAGCTGGGTTACCTGCCAGGGTTTCTGCGGATGGGAGGAGGTGCCCAGACTTTGGGAAGCACTGAAGAGCTTCTCTGGACTGGCTCAGAGGCCCTGCAGCAACACCTGGAGGTACGTCCTCCTCAACCCCCAGGAGCACTACAAGTTTGTGTGGTAGTTTCCCAAGCCCTCTTTCCTCCAATTCCCCCATTCCTGCTTGAACCCCACATCTAGAAACACTGAGTTCCCTGCCAGTGCCAATGGAGAGGTGTGGCCAGCAACCTGCCACTTCACCTTTCAGGAGCTGCTGTCCTCAGAGCTGACCAAGGGGCTTGGGCTGCATCAACCTCATCCTCAGCTCCAGAGGCATCATGACTGCCCATGCCAGTCACCCAAGCCTGCACTCCCTGCCCTGGTGGCTGGTCTGCGGCTGGATGTCTGCCTGGGCCAGCAAAATCAAGGCAGGGTTTTCCAAAGCAGGAGTGTGGCCAGGACAAATGAAGCCATGCCTTTCTTGGTAAGGGGCAAGGAGCACCTGTCCCTTCTCCTGAACGGCATGTCTCGGGGAGAGGGAGCCAGACTGATGTCCATCCACACCAACAAGCCAGGAGGAACAAATGAGACCTTGCAGAGATGAGACTTAAACCCTGATCAAAAGGCCCTGCTGTCCACCCTGCCCTGGGATTTTCAACTCACGGTGCCAAAATCTATTTAAATTGGGTTTTCTGTTATAATCAAAAGGATCCTGACTTAGTGTTTTCATAAGAGTATATTTGTGGATTTTTTTGCTAATTGTATCAACATTTGTTTCTTCTCACTAAAAGTCCAAATTTTCAACAGTACTGTGTATGTGAGGCTGACAGTTTCATTCCACTTGTTCTTTTCGCAGCTAGTGTAAGCCACCAGGTTCTCTGTATACTGCAAGATCCACTTTAAGAACCTGTTGAAGAAAATAATTTCTTTATCCACTTCATGATAAAATATGATGATTTAAATCTCTTCCATTCTTAGACTTATTCCTAAATAGTTTTCGTCTGAGGATTCAAGAAAAACACATAAAACTAAATCAAGACACAAATTAGAGGGAAGATGCTGAGAAGTAAATGCTGCTGGACACTTGGATGAATCCCAGGATTTTATAAAACTCAAGTACCTTTTCAAGTATATTCTCTCAAGGCCAGGCACAGTGGCTCAAACCTGTAATTCCAGCACTCTGGAAGGCTGAGGCAGGTGGATTGCCTGAGCTCAGGAATTGGAGACCAGCCTGAGCAACTGGAAGACCCCCATCTCTACTAAAAAATAGAAAGACTAGCCAGGCATGGTGGTGGCACCTGTAGTCCCAGCTACTCAGGAGGCTGAGGCAGAAGGATCACTTGCACCCAAGAGTGTGAGGCTGCCATGAGCTATGACACTATGGCACTCTAGCCTGGGCAACAGAGTAAGATGGTCTGAAAATACATTCTCAAACCCAGATGTTACTTTTTTATTTTTAAGCGATAGAACATAGTTCCAGCAAGGGGCTTAAAGACCCTCTGCTTACTGACACATGACACAGGTAAAAATACAACAGAGTCATCCCCAAGGTAACGACCCTGCACACAGAAGCCCTGGCTGCCCAAGGCACCCCAGTTCTGCAGGGTTGGCCCTCTATATGCCAGGCTTGGCTTGGTTTTTGTTTCACGTTGTTTCACAATCTGCATTTAAATGGGACTTGCTGATACAGGGAGCAGACTGGATTTATTGAGAAAACACAAGGAAGTGGACCTGCAAGGTAGGTTTGGACTCATCTGGGTGAGTGAGCTGGTCATCAGGCCACTGGGGAAGCCTGTGGGTGGGGCCACTATCCACCCTGACACCCCTGGCTCTGTCCCTGTGAGGGAGGGTCCAGCTTAGGAGGCATGTCCCACTCTGAAATAGTCATTGCTGCTAAAGTTCTTTGGTAAGAATGAGAATAAATATCATTTTTAGTCTAAAATTCTATCTTTTTATCCTTTTTTGGAAAGGATAATACAATAGAAGGCTACAGATCATTTGGGAAAGTGGTTCTCTACAGGGGCGATGTTGTTCCTTAGGGGACATCTGGCCACATCAAAGCCATTTAACTGTCACCAGCAGGGAAAGGACAGGGTACTACCTCCCATAATGAGCAGAACAACCCCCACTGGCCACAAACACCAGCAGCAGCAAGGCTGAGACACTGACCCAGAGACACCAATGGTGACTACTTCACACCTTTGCTACCCTCGTGCTCAGGGGAATTCTGCACTACTCATCCTAAGATGCAGTCACATTTCCATGTTCATTTCAAATGTGCACCAAGCTGCCACCACCTGCAAAGCATTAGCTTAAAACCAGAAGACAGAGCTTCCTAGGTGGCCAGGAGAGGCTATGCTGGGATTGCACCCAGGGCACTGCTCTTCTGGAGATCAGTGTCACCCTACCTTCAGATCCCTAGATCTAGAAGATCCTAAAAGGAGGACTTCCCATATTCAAAACTATTAGTTATATACAAAAAAAATTTGGTTTTGAGCCTTCTGGACACAGAAGAGCTCAAACCCTTCACTCAGGAGCCCTGCAGCACCCCTCCTGCAATGCTCCTCCTGCAGTGTCCCTCCTACAGCGCCCCTCCTACAGAGTCCCCCGTGCAGCACCCTCCTGCAGCGCCCCTCCTGCAGCACCCCTCCTGCAGAGTCCCTCCTGCAGAGTCCCCCGTGCAGCACCCTCCTGCAGCACCCCTCCTGCAGAGTCCCTCCTGCAGCGTCCCTCCTGTAGTGCCCCTCCTGCAGCACCCCTCCTGTAGCGTCCCTCCTGTAGTGCCCCTCCTGCAGAGTCCCTCCTG